ATTCCTGCATTTTAATCCTTTGTAGAAAGGTGGTAATATAGGAGCAATATGAAAAGAACTGGATTCAGATCATTAGAGGTTCACAAACCAAACACATGAAGCTTTGGAGGCTGTCCAAAACAAAATCATGCCTAGGTGGTGATGTCCGTTCAATAAAAATTCAATGTCATAATTATCCTCTCACTTTTTCCCCAAAGAGCATTAGTGCTCAGAACTGTGCTGCTGCTCAGCCAATTATATTAATGCTGTGAGAAGACGGATAGGGCTGGCAGCCAATCGCTGTGCCAGGTCACTGCCTGCTGACGGGTAATTTACAATTATCAAGCAATTAGCAAATGAAGTGAAAATTCAACACTCATCTCCACATAGCACAGAATAACTCATTTTAAATTTAAAAATATGTTTTAATAACTTCATTTTGGCTACAACCACACAGAGAAAAATAAAACCTCCTTTTTTCAATTTCTCCTCCTTTTACAACTGACAAAATGTTTTGCTGTCTGAAGCTAGCCACCAAATACATTGTTTAACATTTCGAAACTAAACAATCTCTTCCTTACAAATAAGTATCTATTTAATAACAGAAAAGAATCAAAACCAAGACTGTTGATAATGGTACTATTCACTCAGCTACTAGATTTGAAACTGTTACTTAACTATCCATCTGATTAACATCCTGTCCTGGTGGATCGGTGATAACAAGAATTAGCCAGGCACCAATCTGCCAGGAAATCCAAAATTTTCTTTTCTTCTCTATATTTAACAATAAATGACATAAAAAGTGCTAATCTGCAACTAGTCAGTTGCACAAAACAAATGTCCTTTCCCATCAATGATCAAGTTATTACTCTGTTGTGCTCACAACAAAGTATAGAGCTCCCATTGCCTATACTCACATTCATAATTTAAAAAAAAAATTAGTAAAACATAACTTCCTGGTTTTATTCCCCCCTCTAGAAAACTACTGTATCTTCCCTAGGATATGAACAATGAACAATGAATATGAACAATATCATAGGGATATGATATGAACATTGGAATTGAGCTTCTTTAAAAGAGTAAGAAAAAGGCAAAAGAGGTCACCATCAGTAGTGAAATCCAAGGAGATAAAAGGAGATCCTTACATTTCTATGTCCTCTGATATAAAAAAAAAAAAATTATATATCCTGACTTTAAAAAGTTGGTACAGGAAAAAAAAAAAATAGGAAAAGCTTCAGGCTCCTGCCAAAAGGAGGAAGAGGAAAAAAAAACCCAAAACAGAAACCAAACACAACACCACAACAACAAACAGCTGATGTAAATACATAACACTTCCGTATGCACTGGACAACACTCGTCTTGCTGCACTGATGTCAGCTCTAGGTTTTCATCTTACATGTAAATGTATCTAAGCCAGAGAGAAAGAGAATTTAAAAAAAACCCAAACAACAAACCAACAACCAAAAAATATACAAGGCTATATAATGTCACTTGGAAAAAAAAAAGAAAACTGATGGCATTTGACATACTTCTCTCTCCAAAAAGATACCAGCAACAAAGTCAACTTTTTTCTGTCTGTATGGGGTTTCAGAAAACATTCATGCTGTCAACATAATATATCCACTTTTTAAAACAATCCTTCACCCTCCTTCTGCCTGAGAAATACTTATTTCTGGTTTGTGTTTTTTGGGGTTTTTTTTCTTGCTCCCTCTGTATTACCACAGTGTCGAAAGCGAAGAGAAGGAGAGGAAGGAAACCAAAGCAACGCAGAAAAATCCTCCACAAACCTGTTGCTGTGGATACTGCATTCCTCCCATGGCTGCCGGGGCTCGGCCCGGCATTCCCACGGGATAGCGCTGGGGGCCGGGAGGGCCGTACGACTGCCCGGGGTAGGGGCTGCTCTGCTGCGTCTGAGAGTGAGGGTTATTGCCCATGCCGTACAACTGAGGTCTCTTCATGACCATTGGGTCCATTGGGCTGCCCTGTTGTTAAACACAAGCAAAGAAATACGTTAAGATATGGAAAGGAAAAGGTCAGAATAATCACGCTTACCGCAGGCAAACTATATGTGGTTTTTCTCAATGCTTTATAGATCAAATATTGACTTGACATACAAACAGGGAAAGTACCATACATATTAATTAGATGAGGTTTTGAACAGTGAGTTTGGGACTTCCATTGCATTTTAAAAAAAAAGTAATAATTCTGCACTCATACTTAAGGATGACTCTTACCTACAGAAAAAGCAAATATGGTAACTGCTCAATAAATTTCAGCTGAAGAAATAATTAAGTATACTGCTGTAAATTGATTAGCATCACTGACTTTAATGTGTGAACATAAATAAAACTATGTCTATCAAGAGAGAGACAAGTAGTGGGCAAGCCATTTAACCTTGAGAAAATGTCTGTTTTCTTACCTTGAAAAAAAGGGAAAGTGAAAAGAAAAGAAAGTTTCCAAGAAGTGCAATGCATACAGAACGCCATATTTCAGCGCTTTCATATTGCTATTGTGTGCATTAATAAGTTTCCAGATCATAAGGTAAGTCATAACCCAGATCTTACATGAAAGTTTATTTGCCTCCTTAATAGACCTCAGAAAATCCAAACTGCAATCACTGATGGAGGGGGAGGGAAGGCAGGGAAGTTTTATTTTTAGACTTTTTGGCAGCTCTTACCAGGCACCGTAACAGTTTCAGGACGGGTGTCAACCATTGTGTGGTATTACTCTCATGTTTTATTACTGAGGACTAACTGAACCAGAAAAAAATATCATACTTCGTCAAGCGCATCACTGTATTGTTAATATGACATCCATTTTTTAATTCCTGAGTGCTGGTTGTATTCACAGAAGAAAGGGAGGGAAAAAAGCTTTTAAAAAGCCTACCGCAATCTCGTCTTCACAAAAGAGACATATCCCCCCTTCCTCCTCCCAGGGAAAAACACCTACTAATTCAGCCAGCCAGCCCACCCTCCAGCCAGGAGCACGATTCCTTTCTGTAGCACACTTTGTACACGTTTTCCTACCAGGTATTGTTGACCAGTTTCATTTTAAAGCCTCCTATGTAACATGGCTTCTACAAGTCCTTTTTGGCTATTATATTCTGATGTGGCTTTTTCTCCCCTATACGCACAAGGCACGTGCTCTCCAAAGAAGTCACCGTTCAATGAACTATTACATGTTTTTCTTCCTACATCTTTCCTGCAAGTAACTAACTCAAACCTCCTCACTGTTTTCACTGGCTCTCCCGAGCCTTACCAATACCGATTTGTCGGGCACGTCACCAAAGCCAAATAAAGTATTCTGAATGCGGACACACTACACCTGAGGAGGTGCAAACGATAACCTCCCCCTCCTCGCATGATACCTCCATTCTCTTCAGAAGAGGACTGCCCTTTTTTGCCACCATAGTGAATTTCACATTCACTTCTAATTTTGGGTAACTATTACTCAGCAAATTTCCCTTTACTATTTGGCTTCTTTGTGGCCAGATTAGAAGTTTCTATTTTTCATCACTAAATGTCCCTGGGTAATTTACTATTTATATTTCATACTTCTCAAAATCAATGGTTCCCCAACCACTTCAGGCCACCCAACCCATAACAACACTCATTTTTTTATCTTTTTTTTTCAGGCCATCATGCGCTCTCACCACACTTTTAACT